AAGATTGCCTTCTACTCGATAGAGGGTATAGGCATCAATAAGGTTTTAGGTGTTACACAGTTTCATTTGTATTATGCGGACGACACTGTACTGCAGAATGAAGATCCAGGTAGGTTGTAAACTGTTCTGCGTGGTTTGTGTGACACTGTACCTATGCGTTTTGCCAACTAGTGGGAAATTAACGATCTACCCGGGGAGTGAATCCCGCACCCAAGACCATCAAAAATGCTTGGTCGTTCGTGCAAACCTATATATCTACTGAACAATCAGCTTGAATGCTTTCTATCTCAACTGACCCCACAACCGCGATCAAATGTCACACCTCTAAACACGCCGGTTTTAAAATAAGTGATTTGTTACTCTAGGAATCATTAATAAGTATGCCTCTCTAATGTGGCACACAGGTGAAATGTTTCCAAAATGCCTTAACAATAATCTTCCCGATGTATACTACCACCCATCACATCCTAATGAACGTTGGTAAAATCCAAGAGCACAGCGTATAGATACAATAGATAATATGTTAAAATGCAAAGCACACATCGACCACACGAGGATGCTTCTGTACGAGCAACCCTTTCATTTCGCAACAGCAGCAGCAGCATCATTACTTCTTAGCAAGCCCTACTGGCGACTGTAACGTGTTTCACACACAAGTAGGTTAACTTATTCTTGACGACATTGATTTGTGTTGAGGCACACAACCATCGACCACGTTAAGAACGTTTATCCTCCCATCGTTGCAATTAATAGCCTCAATTTATTGCTAAATACTCGGTTGCGGTTGCGGTTCGAGCTGTTTTGCAGCGTTCTCAAGAGTGGTGCGCAGAACCAATCGTTCGTATTTTTCATTGCGAGTGGCCGTGACATCTAATCTGTGCTAGAGAACCTGGCATTTCCTGATGCTCCCTACGGCTCCTTGAAGCCGCTGTTGCTTGATCACCTTGATCACTGAGTTGCAGGCTCAAGAAAGGGCCAAACTCAACTCCATGGTACTTACCGAAAACACAGCTTGCCCGATTTTATTGTCCAGTTTAACAAACAGGCTGTACGTTGCGATTATCATGACCGTATGGAGGAACAACTGTGTGACCGTCTAGTGGAAGTAATCAACAACTTGACACCGCAACGGAAATAGCATGATAAGAAGGGCCTTACGTTCGTGAAGGCACGCAACTTCTGTGGACAACACGATGATCTAATGCCAGGAACTTCCAATGCAGCTATTGCTTTATTCCAACGGCACAGACAGCAACCAGTCCATTCTTCAATGGTTAAACATGCATCCAACCCACAACGATGGGAGGATAAACGTTCTTAACGTGGTCGATGGTTGTGTGCCTCAACACAAATCAATGTCGTCAAGAATAAGTTAACCTACTTGTGTGTGAAACACGTTACAGTCGCCAGTAGGGCTTGCTAAGAAGTAATGATGCTGCTGCTGCTGTTGCGAAATGAAAGGGTTGCTCGTACAGAAGCATCCTCGTGTGGTCGATGTGTGCTTTGCATTTTAACATATTATCTATTGTATCTATACGCTGTGCTCTTGGATTTTACCAACGTTCATTAGGATGTGATGGGTGGTAGTATACATCGGGAAGATTATTGTTAAGGCATTTTGGAAACATTTCACCTGTGTGCCACATTAGAGAGGCATACTTATTAATGATTCCTAGAGTAACAAATCACTTATTTTAAAACCGGCGTGTTTAGAGGTGTGACATTTGATCGCGGTTGTGGGGTCAGTTGAGATAGAAAGCATTCAAGCTGATTGTTCAGTAGATATATAGGTTTGCACGAACGACCAAGCATTTTTGATGGTCTTGGGTGCGGGATTCACTCCCCGGGTAGATCGTTAATTTCCCACTAGTTGGCAAAACGCATAGGTACAGTGTCACACAAACCACGCAGAACAGTTTACAACCTACCTGGATCTTCATTCTGCAGTACAGTGTCGTCCGCATAATACAAATGAAACTGTGTAACACCTAAAACCTTATTGATGCCTATACCCTCTATCGAGTAGAAGGCAATCTTAATAGGCAAATCTATTTTAAACTTGAGTTAAAAAGGAGAGAGAGAGAGAGAGAGAGAGCAGAACCTGATAAGGTTATCAGAAAAAGACCTTTTGCTCGACTTTAGTTTGGATGGGGTCGTAATCTTCTGTGCTACGCCGTTCTGGAGAGGCAGCAGTCGACTAAGTTAAATGCTCCTTTCAGATTGAGGACGATAGAAATGATGGACCCAGGAAAGAAACATCTGTATTCCATTTCGCCTGTTCGCCGAGCTTGGCAATTTGTTTGCAGACGTTTCTTCACCAATCGAGGTGACGTCATCAGTGCTTGTGAAGTGGCAGTGTTCAAAACTGTTCAAAACACAATATCGGACAAACTGGGAAAAAACTGTCAACAATGATCTGTGAACACCAATTGGCAGTCAGGAGACATGACCTACTATCGTTGATCTCCCTCCATGAAGATCAAGAAGGACAATAATTTGACTTCGAATCGGTGAGAATTATCGACCAAACCCGGTCAAAGCACGCCAGAGAATTTCTCGAGACCTGGCACTCATCAATCAGCTCAATAAACAGGCACATCGAACTGGATCACGTGTGCACGCCAGTGCGAATCAAGGATCAAATGACGCAACAAAAAAGGTTACACCGTGACCTGAGAACGGACCGAAACCGCAATCGGGACGAAAGGACAACCTCCACCCGTCGTACCAGTTCAACGGCCAACCGAGTCGAACACAGTGAGAACAGGGGACGAAATTCATCGGTGGAGAAGAACAGATATAAACGAACGGGTACAAACAGAACACTGCCTGTTCACAAGCACAGATGACGTCACCTCGGTTGGTGATGAATCGTTTGCAAACAAATTGCCGAGCTCGGCAAAATGGAATTCAGTTCACCCGAGCTACGAGAACCAATTTTCAACATTTTGTCATGGAACATTTGTCTCAGAATTCGATGAAGAGTGAAAATGTGGTTGATATGATCTCAATTATTAGGTCTAAAATTAGCCTGGATCTCAAGTAGATTTTATTAATGTGCGGCACACAACCGATGATGTATGATGCCAGCAAGAAGTTTAGAAACAATGTTGATGTAGTAATTGTAGTAATAGTAGTAAGCACTGAACAGGAAATAAGAATCACGGAATACGAATCACGGACGAGGCGTAGGCACCGGACCACACTGGTACTTGCACGCAATGAACTACCGAGTCGAGACGCAAGGAAAAATCTGCAGGAGTAGTCGTACGTTTACTGAAAGAAATTAGGGGTATTAAATAGTATGTACAAAACAATCTCATTGGTTATCGAAGCCTCTGTTCATCGCTTTCGAGTATTTCTGGCGTTGTGCAGCTTCTATCTGGCCCGAATGGTTTCTGATTGGCTGGTACAACCGACCTATGCTAGAAGCTGTGACACGTGCGCGCATTGCTGACATCACCTGGGAAGCTTGGTCATTACAATTGTCCGAAAACTATAACGTGCCGTTCCGTGGTGTGCGTCATCTCGTAGACCAGGATCACTACATTTGATCAAACTAATTCATCTGTGGTTTTCAAGAGATAACTCGATGTGTTTATTGTAAATCGTCAAGGCGTCCAATTCATACCATTCACTTGGAGCCTACTCACTGACCCATACTTACTGATCTCATGTTCAAGGCTGAACCTCCATCCCTAAACGTTTATGGGGACAGTCCATCTGTGCCGGAGGCGTTATGCTATTTGCAATAACTTTTTCCCCTATAACCAGCCCCATTTCAGAAAGGCGATTGATACCAACCAGCAGCATTTATCCAGTTGAAACAGGAATTGAGAGGTTTAGAGTTGATGGGGGCTAATCAAATTGTGCCTTAGAATGCTCAGTGTACCGTTTTAATCATTTCCCGTCCACTATCCTTTTGCCCGTAATTCTGATTTAACGACAAAGTTTGTTGCAGCCTTCTTCATCGCTCTACATCTTACTACTCACCACTTCTCGCAGTCATTCTTCAATTCCAACCGCGACGCTAGGCACAGTAATCTAGGGGGTCCGTAACCCAACACAGAAAATCAGAACACACACAAAACATCGTGCTGATCGGAATCGGGTTAGCGATTTAATGGATGATTGTGAGAGTACATTGAGCGATTAAACGATGATCGAAAGTTAGATCAAGCTGGCGCATGGTCAAAACGGATTGGAGGAGTATTAGCCAGTGTCTGTCGTGAACAGCTGTGTCGTGATTGGACGATCCATGGGAACTGGTAAACAAATGAGTGCGTAGCATTGTTGATTTGTGCGCTATGCCACATTTGGTATCTGCAGGAATGGTCCTGGGCGAGTCCATCAAGACAGAGTCGATTCATCGCTTATTCTATGATCATGCACCGGGACGAGACAAGATGTCCGTCTACAGATCAGTAGGGTCTTGAACAAATACCATATGTCTCTTTGCTTGTTGCTTGTTCTTGATATTTTGTTTTATTTTTTCTTGAGTATATAATTGTGTAAACAAATAACACGAAGGATAACGTTTAGTTGAGTGTATACAAGTCAAATCAAGTCAAGAGTGCACTTTATTCATCCAATGTGGACAGAATTTGCATTGAAAAATATGTTATCACCTTTGCTTTGGCATACGCGTTATTAAAATGAGTTTAAGGATATGACAAATAGTTAGTTACATGATAATTAATAGGGCACCGAGAACGAGTACAAAATTCCAGAAAAATATCAGCGTGAAAATTTACATTAGAATGTGCGTTCGATAGTCGTTCTCTAGAAACCAACAAACGTGAAAGGTAAGGTACACCGGAGTGATGAAAGCAGTGGTACGAGTATGTAAAGGTTTACAATTTATTGTGGGTGACAGAAGTTGAAATGTATTTTCATGCGGCGATTTTCGTTACTGTCTTTTGGTTGCCCATCTGAATGAAAGATATCAAAGTTGAAAGCAGAGTTTAAGAGAAAATGGAGAATTTTAGAAGACTAGTGTTGCGAAGATAATGAAAAAACAAACGAGTGCAACTGTTTGAGACACTCAGACATATCAAGTAATGACAGTCTAGAAGTGTTTAAGTCATAAAAGCAAATGGAAATCAGCCAACCATGATGGGATTCGAGAACAAGACTTTCGAACTGATGGATGGCCACCAATATCACGTGGTCCCAGTCACTCAAGTTTTCTCTCATTTTATCCACTTTGCAGTACACTAAATCAGCACTGTGATTTGCACGTCGATCCTGCCTCTAGCATACAGTGATACATCAAAATGCCCAGCTGTCAAGGTAAGCCTAAGGTTCCGATGAGCATTACAGCGATTTGAATTTGAGTTGGACGGGGATCGCCGCCGTCGTGAGAACGCTTGGGCTTTTTCTCGACGGGCCTGGATGCGTAATCGTCAGGGTGAGGGACATAGAACAGTAATCTGTTTTGTGCATGCTCACCATCGACGCCCCCGTAACCCCGATTCCGAACAAATGACCATAGACTGTGATGTATACCCCATATATACCGCACGTTTCTCCATTTCTCAATTCACGTTTGACTGGCACAACCAAAGAAGGCTTACACCGGTATTGCAACTGTCTTTTAACTGGGAACGCTGGTGTTAAGACCGAATTCTAATCGCGAAGCTGATGTACAATACTGTTTTGGTCCCGCAACCCGACACAAGAAATCAGACCACACAAGAGAGCGTACAGATCGGAACCGGGTTAGCAATTTTAATGAATGATCGATTAAACGATGGCCTAAAAATAGATCAAGCTGGTCCACGGATAAAACGGCCTGGAAGGGTATCGGTCAGTGTCTGTCATGAGCAACTGCATCACGTATTTGGAAGAACAATGGGAAGTGATGGATGGATGTGTATGTAGCAGTTACAATACGCACCCTGGGACCAGGTTCGCTGATAGTTTTGACGCGACACAACACCAACAAATCCAATACATGCGAATTGATCAACTAGATTAGATAATAGTCTTACGCTAGGCTACACTGGATCCTGCAGCAAGGTTCTGATGACAGCAATAGGAGCTTGTGATGCATAATTCAATGACAGTACGTAAAGTGAGACATATCGAGGGTCTTTAAACTAGTTCATTATTTTTCTAATATCCTCCAGTGCTCATTTTTAGCTCAAAATGATAATATAAGAACGTCACGATTTATCGATCGAAATACCTACTAAGGTAGTTTGCAAAGCCTATTTTAGAATAATGCATCTGATAGAGAAAAGTCTAATTTCCCATCCGAAGAGACCATTCTCCCCTATTTTCACACTTATATCATGAAATCCAACTTTCCACTTTTCGTGCCAAGAAAGGTTTTCCATCACACCACCAACTCCGCTCGTTCCTGAGTTCGGACTGCTGAGTGAATCTGTAAGGCTATCGTTGGCAGATTGCAAAAATGTATGTAGGCAACACCTCTGACCTCAAAATTCCGTTTGGGTCGATTCAAATACAGAACCTCACCTAAAGATGTGCCTCCCTTCTTTCTTTCGTGTTCATTTTGGCACGGGGCCGTACTACATTGAGCGTGCCTTTACTCTCGTAGGTACTCGTTCGTTTACTCTATCACGTGAATTTAGGTTAATGCTCGTCAGGTAGTCTGTAGACCGTTCCGCGGGTTACAACGGCTTCCCCCGTGGTAACTAGGAGAAAATACTCATCTATCGATCAATTTTTTAATTTTAATAAAAGGTAAATGAAGTGGAACTTGTATTTGGATGGATTTGTATCTCAAGTAGATGCATTCTAAAAAGGGGAAAAAAGAACCAATCGAAATTAAATAATTTCCTATAATTTCGAGGTACCGGAGAATTCGCGTGGTGTGCACCAAGAAGTCCAATTGGCAAACTAGCTCATCTCGAGAGTGTCATTTAGTAGCCATATACCGCATTCTTTTATAGCTCAAAATCACATAAATCAAATAAACAGAAAAAAGTAGATCACTTCTCTGTGTGTATTTATTTGTGTGGGTAATATTGTAGTGGATGAACTGGAAGTCAATTTTTTCTGCAAATGTCAGTTTGTAATGGTTCACGTACGCACAGATCATGAATTACGAATCACGGACGCCACGGAAGCGCTGGATCACACTGGCACTCGCGCGACGGTATCCCACTTAACCGAGACGCAAAAAAGGCCACAAGAATAGCAGTTCGTTTATGGGAAGAAATCAAGGGGGTCAAATATCATATACAAAAGAAGTCACTAATTATCCAGGTATCTAGCAATCCCGTGCTCGTATTATTGGCGTCGTGCATAGAAGCACACAGTTCAACGCTGTGCTACTTCGAGTGAAATTTTTGGTGGATTCAAGGAATATGCAAACGTTGATGAACAAGAAGAAAACGCATGACTGGGGCTTACAGGACTGTATTAATTTTAGTAGTAGTACGCGAAATACGAATCACTGATTATCAATCACGGATGTCACGTTAGCACTGGATCACACTGGTACTTGCACACAATATCCGAGGAAAACGAAACAGGAGTAGTAGTTCGTTTACTGAAAGACATAAGAGGGATTAAATAATATGAACAAAACAAATTCATTGGTCATCCAGGCCTCTGTCAATCGCGTTCTAGTATTTCTGGCGTTGTTCATCTTATGTCTTGGGTGCNTTGGGTGCACAGATTCTGACTGGTTGGTACAATTGACCTATAATACGCAGTCCATGAGCTGTGAGCCGTAGGCGCTTTGCTGACGTCACCCGTGAAGCTGGATTGACCACAGTTGTCCTAAAACTGTAACGTGTCGCTCCGAGGTATACGTCATCTGGTAGGCTGGGACCACCACAAGGACTTATCACTACTCAGTGAAACCGGAAATGAGCAAGTGGTTGCTTTTCACTGCATTCGTCTGTACTGAAGCTGCAATAATGAGTTAGGGAATTGACTCATGTATTTAATGGAGGATAGCCTAATCTACCGATCAGTAATGTCAGACAAGCGAAAATATCACATTAACTCAAATGCGATGGAAGTGTTTGTGATGACCGACAAACAGCACTGTTTCGTCCTGTTTAGGACTCGTCAGCAGTGCGTACTTTTTGTGTCCCTGTCTGAACTCGAACCGCGAACATTCGAATCGGGACTTCAAACCCCTACCTCTGAGCTACACGGTCAACAGTCATCACTTTGTGCGATTGGCTCAAACCCACAACCAAGACCATTAGGATTGCCTGGTGCCTCTGAACAATCGAATAGGCCAATCCAAGCTGGATGCTCTAAAATCACACTACCTATTGCGATAACTGTGTGACGGATTCCACTCCTGGATACCCTCGGGTTAAGCAGAGCTGAATGCTACCAGGCACGTCCCCGGGTTGTGGATAGGGGGAGACCTACACAGAAGAAGTGCAGCTGTGAATAATTTGNATTTGTAGCATACCACAACAAATAAGCAGTCGCGAACAAACAGCGGCGGTACTACCAGGGTGTGGTGGGTTTCAGGCTGGTCAACTGGTTCCTGTTTAAAATCCGCATAAGCCCAATGACGGTGTCGTGACAAAGGTCAATGTGACTGGCCTTTTAAAACTAAAGCTATTGTCCCACTCACCTCGGAGACGAGGGATTACTTCCTGTTGCCTTGCAGTTCGCAAGTGGTTGCGCAAAGGCTAAATGTGCATCCTCTTGCTAAAAAACGCCGAGTGACGCTGGGGAAGTCTCTCGTACCAAACTGCCAAGGAACCTCATGATCATGATCATGTCTGGAGCCGGTTTATCCGTTCCAAAGAGTCAGCAGTAGTCAAGTAATTATCCCCAAATTTCGGAACATAAACCCCAGTCGGAAACTTTGGTTGAGGTCTAAAAACCTCTCTGACCACAGAGACATTTGCAACCGAAGCAGGTTAAATAAAATCGGCTTTAGGAGGGAGAAATTTGTTTTACTGGGCATGTACGATTACCTATCAAATTGGTCAAACTGCATGGAGGAATATATATATGTGTATATACAGCAGAAAGTTGGAGTGTTTTTGTTTGTTTGACTCTACACCATATTAGCTCACAAGCGATCAGTTTCCATGTGTGGGTTAAGTGAATGGGCAAATCGGTGACCGATATCAGTCGAAGATCTTTTCATACAATGGTTGTCTGTCTTTAGAACAAACACACGTTTTACCGCCAGCCACGTTTTGTGATTGCTGGTCCCATACTATAAACCGATTGAGGCAGATAGCTCACCACATTAGATGAGGAAGAATTTCGTGCATTAGCTTTTGGTTTACCTCTTGATCTGGTTCGATGCGTGTTGCCCCGGATCGAGTGAAGCAATGTAGCCGGACTCATCATCAGTCCACCGGATGCATATGAAAACGAAGTTACCGGACCCGATACGGGGCCGGAAAACTTTGTCACTGATCTGTCTGATTCGAAGTTCGCACTAATTGTGCTGGTGATTGAAACACCACCTCCGTTCCCACCGCCAGGAACCACTTGCAATGCTCCCTGACCAAAGTGTATTGCTCTCCAAGTCTCTTCAGCATGTTCTGGTTCGGTACGCAATGCCACAAACAGTAGACACTTTGATTCTCCACTGAGTGTCGGTCGGAGCAGATAGGTTAGCTTTGTTTCTCGATAGGTCGGCTTTTGTTGACGTCGAAGCGCATCGAACACACGACCGAGTGAACTCAGCGATTTATTGATGCATGCCGCTTCGAGAAATCGTTCTCCAGTCGAACCGGATTTGGTCACATTCTCCGAACCAGCCAGATCAGCTAAAGTCAGTGTTCCACGGCTTGTGGTCATGTGAAACTGGTGTTCCCCAATCACCTTCAAAAGAATGACCAGATGGGATCTGGAACTGCAAATGTTTAATCGAGTTGATCCTACACGACGTTGTTTCTCTGCCAAATGTAAGTAGTACAACATCTCTGTCTCGTCATGAACCGGACGTTCATGTAAATTTTGCAAAACTACTCCGTCTAACTGATCCGAAAGAATGCGCACAGAACCACGACGTCGTAGAGTTTTTCCAGTGAAATAACCGAGACCGGATGAGTGAGTGGACGGCCCTCGGCTAGTCCATGTGTTCCACGGCACAGAAGACTGATTTGGTGGTTGTCTCCACCTGCCACACCCGGATTCTCGACCAGTTTTACGAAACATTTGTCCTGTAGTCGGACTTGAACGGGTTTGAGTGGATGAGCTAAGCAAACCTGTACTGCGCTCAGCTGATTCGTTTGCATCCTCTAATAAATCAAAAACATCTTCTTGATAAATTTCAACTACACTGACAAAAATTGAGTATTTCCAATGTTTACGTCGGTCGCAGTGTTCAAACAGACTTTGAATAGCTCTCCTATTTACTCCGGGTTCCTCTTCTGTACCCATCATTGTGTATGTCTTCCCGCTTCCAGTTTGTCCATAAGCCATAATGCAAACGTTGTATCCATCAATACAGGAAACAATCAAATCATCCACTTCCTGATAGACTTCTGTTTGCGAGGCCCGTGGACCGAACACACGATCGAAAATGAAACATTTCGGTGCTCCAAAACTTATCCCAGAGGAAGTTCCCACACCTGTTCCACTGCAAACCGCATTAGCCCCAATTCCCGTGGTTGTAGATCCACTAGTTAGTGTACGCATCCCATGATATGCAAAGGGAATTGTAGGTTTTCGTTCCTGCAATTGATCCTTCAAAGTGTCCGAACAAAATAGCAATTTGTCATTAGAGCTCACACGTAAATACTGATTCTGATCA